AGCTTACAATGGGGATTGCAACACTTACAGAATAAAACTTCATTAATTTGGGCTAGAAAAGGCAGAGTAAACTGCAGGAGGCTTTGACGAATGTTTCAATTACACTGAGATCATATATGTTTTAGGGGAAGGGTAGAAGGAAAGGCTTTATTGCAATGTGGATGGAGCTCACTCTCTAATAAGAGAGTGGAAACTTTATATTCCCTAAATCATTGATTCTTATGGAAGGGAGGGGGCTTCCCAAGTTGAGTGGGCTCTGTTCCTCCTTCTTTGCTATATTCACTGGGCATTTCTACAGACATAAACTAATGAACTATGTAAGCCAAGAAGATATGCAGTCTTGGGGTTAGGAAATACCACTCATTTCTGATAGATACAAGCCTTATAAGACTCCTGGGCAAACAATTTTGATCCTAACTGAACTGTTCCAAGGATCCAACCCAATTCAATTCTTAATTCCTGCTATGTGAGAGACAATAGCCATGACATCTGAGGACTCAAAAATGAAAAAGAATGCTGTAGGTAGTATAAATGAATAAATACACTAGAAAGTGATTCCTGTGCATATCTTTATGATAACATCTATTACATTGTGTTGAAATTGTCTGCATATGTGTCTGTCTCCTTAACTAGGGAAAACATTCTGTCTCACTCATCTTTCTATCCACAGAATCTAGCGTAGATTTTGGCTCAGAGAAGGCACTCAATAAATACCCTATAAAAATAATTGAATCAGAAGTAAAATAATAGAAAAAGTGGTATTGATATGGCATAGAAATTCTGTAAGCAGAAACCTGAGACTTGCGCTAGACTCCTCCTCCCTTTCTTCCAACCCCATGTCCACCTGTCCACAAGGCTTTGATGTTTCTCTCTTCTAAATCTCTCTAGAATCTCTACTTTTCTGTTTTTCTCTCCACTGCTACTGCCTTAAGTAACATTGTGATCATCTTTTTCTTGGGCTGCTGTAATAACAGTCTCCTAATTTGTTCCCCACTCTCTTTCTTGCCTACTCCAATTCATTCACCATATTGCCAAGTTTCTAAAAGGTAAATCTGCTTACCTTATTTCACTGCTTAAAAAACTTCAAGATCTTCTCTTTATCTTTGGCTCCTGTCCAAACCACCTTGAATAACATGCAAGACCCTCCATGATCTGACATGGAACTACTTCTTCAGGTTCATTTCCTCCCACACACATCCAAATTCTTCTCTGGTCCTTAGTCTCCCTGATGATTTTTAGTCTCATCAGTGTTGTTGGAAATAACATGGTTTGAACACCCTGTTCTCTTGACTGTGAATCCACTTCCATCCTCTTCCCTAGCACTATTCTTACTATGTCTGCCGAAGTTTGACATATCCTTCAGGGCCCACTCCAGTGGAGCTATAGCCTTCTTTGCACTGTCATTATACTTTTACTCTATTACAGGGGAGAGCAGTGGTTCGAAAATAAATGGTGACCTCTAGTCTGAGGCTGCCTGGGTTGGTAGTCTACCTTCAAGACTTACCAGCAGGGTGATCCTGGCCAAATGCTTGACATCTTGGTGCCTTAATTTCTTCATCTGAAAAATAAACCTTCTGGGTCTCTGACGGTTGACTTTCATAGGCCCAGTGGCCCGTACCGCCTTCTGCTAGGATTTAGACAAGAATAATTATTACTGGAACATGAAGCATATTGGGCTCCTATATAAGCTTTGTTTGGTACAAATGATTCTGTTGCTGTTAAAATGTTTAAAATCACTGTCTTAGCCAAGCTCCTCACTTTATGGATAGGGAAAATAATAGTAAAAAAATAAATCTAGTAAAGGATAAAGGATAAATCTAGTAAAAGCCTTGTCCATTTTTGCTGTAAGCCCTTTGGCGCAGTGTCCACTTATGAGAGGGAAGTTCAGGTCTCTCTACTCCATCTGTTACCTCGAGTATTCTAAGCACTGGAACCTCGAAGAATCTGAGCTGGTAGAGTACAAGGAGGAATGCTACAGAGCTTGAGGCAAACACTTTAATGAGGCCAAGCTCATTGCTTTGTTAGAAGCATTGCTTGCCAAATGGAATTGGCTGTGTATGGAATGCTCTGGGGCAGAGCCCTGGGGAGACTATGGACAGTGCATTGCAACAAGCAGACACGATTAGGCCTCGATCCATTCTGCATGGTTTCCTTCACCAGAGAGCCGGCATTGGAGACCAGATTTCCAGGGGTGGGTCAGATGGCAGGCATGTAAGATGCAATCGTGAGGTTCAGTGCTATAGATCCACCTCACTGCTGAAACAGAGACACAAAAACTGAAGAGTCTACTGTCCAAATGGCAGGAAAGAACTCCCTGCAGGAAACCACACACTTATTCTTTCTAACTACTTTCCTCTGCATGCTTGCTAGTAGTCACTTGGAGCGGGGGGAAAAAAAGAAGCAGGTTGGATGCCATTAGCACTGTGGTAGTAGTGACCATCTCTGCCTCCCTCAACCTTTAATAAGTAGTAATATGTGGGCTAGCAGGTGCTCCGCTGAAAGTATTGATGAATAAAAGAAGGAAGGAAGGAGTGAATGAAAAAAATATCATGTGCTTTGTCTGAGCCATTTGGATAACTGGCTGTTGGGGATTGAATATTTGTGTCCTCCCTAAATTCATGTGTTGAACCCCTAACCCCCAATGTGATGGTATTTGGAGAGGGGTTCTCTAGGAGGTTATTAGGATTAGATGAGGTCATGTGGATAAGACTCCCATGATGGGTGTTTTCTTATGGCAGCTGGAGCCCACTAATACAGGGGCTATAGCTGCATTGTTTTCGTCACTGTTGTTAAAGAAATAAAACGACTTTCACTTGCCAAGAGGGAACAGAATTATTTTGAGACTGAGATGCAGTGAAGAAGTTTTCTATGCCAGCGATGTTCAAATATTGACTCTAACATTTAATACACATTACCAGCTAAAGGGTTGGGCCTTATATTAAACTTTTAGTACTAGTAAACCAAGCGCCTAATCCTTTAACCAAACCCTTAGGGACCAGATCTGTTTCGGAATTTGGAATTTTCGAATTTTAGAAAGATGAGGTGCATATACCTTATATTTTCTAGTACCTTCCATGGGTTCTTAGCAGCACATCATAACCAATTATACTATTATTTCTGTGGGAAAGGATATACACAGTCATGCTAAGTGGAATAAAGACCTTGATTGCAGTGGCTCAATTCAGGTCATGTTTTGACACCAAATAATTTTGCTAAAAACTTTTGATTTTGAGAGATTTTGAATTTAAATTAAGGGCAAGAGCTCGTGAACTTGTAGTAAGAATAGCTATATTCAGTGCTTGCTGGGTGTTAGGACTGTACTAAGCACTTTACATGTATTACCTTATTTAATCTTTAAAGAAGAAAGGCAACTATGAATAGATTCATCGTATCTAGGTTGAAAACTACTCTTAGAGACCTTTATAACATGCCTTTCACCGCATAGCTGGTCACCTTGTCGCTATTGGTCCTCATTGCCTCCCTCTGTCTGAACAGAGAGGTAGAGAAGGTTGGTCTGCCATGAGGTAGAGGAGATTAAAAGGATCCAGAGACAAGAGGTAGAGAATGAAGACATATTTTTTATTTTCAATTTCTGGTTTTAGCCCTTCCTGAGGTTTTACTTCTTTTCTGGGTTGTAAAGCATCCTTGTTTTCTGAATAGACTCTTAATTTTTACCTAATCTGGCCTAAGATGGTTTCTGTTACTTGTCCATAAATAGTCCTATTTGATACCACGTGTGGCAGATATTTCTTATACCGTTTTGCTAGGGAGACCATTGAATCTCATTGAACATTGAAAGATTAGGGGACCTGACAGCAAAATCCAGCAAAATCAAAGAAAGGCCTTCTACTGATTAGTCATCAAGGTGGTTCTCACACCAAGGTTGTCTATCCAATGAGCCTTTTCCACTACATGATGTAGCCTTTTACTATGTAAGAATGGAAGTTTTCCAGATGACTAGCTGAACGTTGTATTTGGTTAAAGGTTTCATGGTGCAGCATTACAAACTTAGAAGGAATGCTTTCAATGCAGAACCAGTACATATGGAAGAATGACAGGTAGGAATGTTGAAAAGTTTCACTATACATCCAACTAAAAAAAAATTGACCAAGGTGAATGGGTTGTAATTCTCAGAGTTTGAATGTGTTGCACAGAGGCGGAGGGGGGAAGAGAACAGCAAGAACAGCTCTTTGTCTGTGTGAACAATATCCTCTGATGGCCATTAGCTCAAGGCCATTTCCATAATGAATGGTGACAATATTGCCAGTTGCTCCTGGGGTGACCATAGATCTTCCGTGGATGCTGTAGGTCTTAGCTCCTCTTTCGCAGCATAGATGTTTCTATTATTTATCTGGGCTATCTTATACAATATACTACCTAATTCACTACTTGAGAGCATAACATTTAGCCGGCAAGCCACAAAACACACATTTCATTGCAGCAGCTGTCCTAGAGCCAGAAGAAGTAAAGTGCGGTGCCCAATACGACCCTCTGACACAGGTAGGTTCTGGTTGTGTTTGTCTTTGAAAATGGCCATGGGGTTTATGGTCATCCTTACAATGGACCTTTTAGCCAAACTGCATACCTGTGTTCCACAGATGAAACTTTCTTTAAAGACTTTGGTTTAATTCTACACGTATTATCTTCTTCTTTTTTTTTTTTTTCATACTCAAGTCACTTTTATTATACATAATTATACAATCCCAGTTCATTAATTTCTTTTGGACCAGCTGGATATTGGGTTCATAATTTAAATCTTTTAAACATTTTATAAATGCTAGTCAGTTCATTTTGGTCGGTATCTGTTACCTGCTGTGCTGAGCCAGAGCATGTTGGACACTTGACCTGCTCTGGAAAGATAAGATGTTTTTCTTACCAACCCTCTCCTTTGGCCAGGCCAGTGACTCTTCTTTCCAGATTGTATTGTGAGGTTTTGCCTAAAGGCAGGGTGAATAAGTCGAGAAACAGCCTGAAGAAGCCAGATTAGATTCAAGTTGCCCATGGACGTTTCGCATTCTAAGGCTAGCCTGGTCTATGTCTCTAACCATTAAAAGCAGCCCCTTCCATATCTTAGAACCAGGATCACTTTCTCTAGGCCATCCCAATCTGGACAGCCCAGCTCATTGCTCCACAGATATATTCCCTTCCAGGATGAACTCAAACAGTAGGGAATAGATACTGATTCTTTCAATTGCATGTCCTGCACATTTTGCCAAAAGCTTCTGCCACGTTTTGAGGCTGCCTTACAATCATGAATTAAGTTAACTTAGTTCTTAGTAAAACACCTTTTCAATACCTCTTTCCTGGTCTTCCCACCGTCCCATCTCACTGTCTCCAGTAGCCTAATCTATTCCTTTCTTTCCCTTCCTCTGTCAGTAATTCAGGAACTGGATGAGTCTCTGTGGTTTCTTTTGCCCTGAAGAGCAGAAGGCTTCGGTCCCAGCTGGTGTTGCCAAAGCAGCAAACTAATTCCATGCCATGGTCCTGGGTTAAGATCTGCACAATCTGACTGGCCATATCACCTCGGATGGTAAGGGAACGGAAGTGGTCAAAATCATGAAGACCCAGCTTCCGGAGACGCCGTGCAGCTGCCCGGTAACACTTCCAGGGCTGTGGCTCCACAAGGAGGTAGCGGCAAAGGGAGGAAAGGTGGGCCAGGAACTCCCACAGGCCATGGTCCCCATGGTTCAGATGAATCCACATGGTTACTGACATGCAGAAGCCAATGTCAAAAACTGAACGTCCAAATTGGCTTAAGAAAGAGCTCAAGAGAACTTTCCGGGTCCTTTGATTCATAAAGTCCAGGGTGATAAAGGTCAGGGCATCAGGAAAAGGGCATTCTTTTTCAGCTCGCTCCACCAGGACTGGATCTATGTCGCAGCAGAGTAGATGGAGTTCTCTTGAGGCATCTGAGCAGGTCTCCCCATCACGTAGGGAAAGGAAGTGTTCGTATAGAGCCACCCTCAGATCCCCAGAGTTACACCCCACGTCTAGACCCAGGATCGGAGTCGTTTCGGAACTCTGAGGAAAGAGCCGGCGAAGCAGCTCCGGGGGCAGGAGGCGGAGCCGTTCTTCTGGAGGATGGAAGCGGGAATAATGAGGGAAGTTTCCAAACGGGGCTGCCCCGGGTTCCAGAATTCGCTGTTCCTCTTCCGTCGCGGCCTCTTCAACGCCCCCGGTGGCCTTTTTCGTGGACGCCGCCATTAGTCGGTCTGGCCTACACGTATTATCTTCTTAATGAAATTTGGTTAGGGAGTATACTTGTGGGCAACATGGTGTATGAGAAAGAAATACATTTGTTAAAAAGGACCCCTGGTCTAGGTGGGACTCAGGGTTCAGTCCAGACTTGGCTAAGACCTTAAGTAGGTTACCTAAATCTCTGAGAGTCTGTTTCCACACCTTGAGAATGAACAGATTAGATAGATGATTTTCAAGATCCTTCTAATTTTTATGCTTGAAAATTTTAGAGTTCTTGGAACTCTTTAAGTGCAAAGAATTTAGTAAGGTTGGTAAAAAAAAGGCACAGAAAGTAGACTAAATTAATTATTAAAATCTGGACAGAGGCAAACCGGTGAATTTCTCTGAGAATTAGTTTCCCCAGGTAGAAACTTTTGGGATCCCAATTTCAAGATCGGAAAACTATTGTGTGAATCTAATTAGAAAACAAATGTTAAAGTGCTTAGCATTTTAGGAGATTTTGCTATTGACAGATTTTTAAATAACGCTTAGCCCTTATGACTGCCATCTAGTGGACACAATAATAATTACATGATTTTTTCACTTGGGCTCCTGAAACTCCTCACAAATGGGAATCGAAGAGTATGGTTTCATCAGTTCCCCTATGAGTAAATGCCAATCCTAACTTAAAGTACTTAATTTACATTTTTAAAGAGAAGTGTCTCATTAGAGGCATTAGAAGTATTTGTTGACTTTTTAGCTAGTCAGCCTTCTTCAAGTAATAGGGAAAGATTTCTTTGGAGGACATATTTTCCCCACTGAGAATGTGCACCTAGCTAGAATGTGGATCCTGAATAGAATGACTATGAGACTGAGAGTGGTTCAGTGTCTGCACATGCCTGCAAAAATGGCTGTTGCAGCCTGGACCTACAAACTTACCTGTTATTTCTCATGTGTCTCATTTGACCCTCTAGTTTTCCCATTAACTTTTTAAAGCCCCCTACATTGTTAATAGCCTCCATTGTATGTATGGAAGGCAGATTTTATTTTGTTCTTTGCACCTCAAGGGTCTTAACTTACATATTAAGAGACAGAGCATACAAGACAACTATGCCGTTATTTGCAAGAAAACAGTGGTCCTCAGAGCTGCCGTTTAATCACTCTTCCTTATAGGCTGTGTGCCAGGCTGAATTTTTGTCCTGTACTTGTTATTTATTCAACACAACCATCCTTTGAGCTATTACTAGAAAGCCCCATTTTAAAGGTAGCACGAGTAAAGTCAAAAGAGATGGAGAAATTTGCCCAAGCACATGATGTTAATAAAAGGCAGAGCCTGGGTGACTTTCAGTCATTTCTGGCACCCAGCAGGAAGCATGGTGAGACTACTTTTTTCTGTCATCTGTAATGTGGACATTAGGTTTCTTTGCAGGCAGCCTGGAAATGTTAGAATCCACCAGCATAACACTGTGAGCTTAATTGAATTTATTAGCCAAAACCCTACCTGACCTTTCATTTGAATGGCTATCAAGCATTTCTTGGTCACATAGGTTTGCATGGTCCTTCCTTCTTAAAAGAGAACACAGAACACCCAGACAGAGAAGAGGAGGAAAGGAGCATTCCTCTCTGTCCCCTGACTTTCCTTTTGTCCTTGGGAGTCATTCTGATTCATATTATCCACGCCACAACTGGCCCCCAGGGGTGACTGAAGCTAAATTTAAATGCTCAAATGGAGCACAGCCACACTCCCCTTTCTTTAGTTTTCCTTACTACATGTAAAACCCGGTGAAATTTTAAAGAAGAATTTAATTATCTACTGATAGCAAAACAAAACAAAGACAAGAAATCCCCAAGGGGCAATATGAGAAGGCTGAGTCAGAAACCTTAGAAAGTTACTTGATCCTTTGCTAATTCTATTAAAACAGATCCTGTTCTACTCGCCATCCTGTCTGAGGGTCTATGAAGAAAAAAGTACCTTTCATTCCCAGGCTTTCCCCCATTCTCATCAAAACAGAAATCATGGCCATACGGATCTTTCGGAGAAAATAATAAATGTATCTACTTATCAAACAAATATTGATTAAGCTATTACAAATGCCTGAATAAGGACATGGAGACTTCAAGTCATTTCTAAAATCAGCCAATTTTTAGGGCACATTGTTTCCTTCCACAGAGATCCCTTTCTCTTCAGTTCTCAGTGCTTCTCTGAGCATCTCCCAGCACTGGGAAAGAATGCCCGCATGCCATCCCACAGGAAAGCGTCTGATTATGGAAGCTTAGAATCAACAGCCCAGACTTTTCTCTAAGTGAAGCCAATTGGTTTCTAAAGGAATTGAAATCTGAGGCCATGCTCATTAGCACAGGCCTATGAGTAACTGAGCCAACTGGACCTTCCAACATTGGTGCTCGACCGAGTGATGTGGTTCTCTTGTGGCCTGAGAGGCCTGACCATGCATGCATCAGGGAAGCTGATTGCCTGCAGGGGTAAGGCTTGTAATGGCTGCCACCATCTTAGATCCAGGGCCATCCCAGGAGAAGCAAGGAATCCTGTCACCACTCATTCAGAGCCAGCAAGAAGTGGATGACAAACCCAGAGGAATGCTTCATGTTGACAAGTCTCCACACTCCAAAACCTAAAATTGGCTTGACCTCCACGTGCGTCTCAGCAGCAGCACTGGTGTGGTACCGATGAACGGGGGGCCCCGTTTGCATCGCTCTTGGCTAACTTGGCACAGAACCTCATAAGAGAAGGCTTGCTTTCCTCCTTCTAGTTATTAGAACGATAACCACTGAAAATAGCACTGGCAGTGAAGACAAAAATGCCTTTGCTTGTGACTTAACTAATGTTTCCTTTCCCCCCACAGCTCTGTGCCCTTCAAACAATGTAATCTGCTCTTTTTGCGCACGTTCTATCTAGAATGGTCTAGCGGTTAAGAGCCTCAGCTCAACCAGATGGATCTTTTCTTAATTGCATGACAGCGAGCAAGTTACTTCAATTCTCTGAAGCCAGATTTCTCATCGCGAAGTGGAAATACTGACCAACAGCTCTACCTGTAAGGTGGTCGGGAATATTTAAATACGATTATTTATAAGTATATATATATATATATAGTGCTTAGCACAAAGTCTAACCTAGTAAATGCTCAGTCAATTTAAATATTACTATCACTAAATGAACTCCTACATATACATATGCCTCGTCCAGTTTAGGTGATTAACAAATGCTAGGAGAGTATTTATACACTACGGAGCACTATGCAAATATAAGATCTGAATATTGTTAGCACTTGTCTTAGTGATGAAGCATTCAGTTCAGTCATGGTCCAGTAAGAGATGAGTCAGAAGGAAAATCAGGGCACATAGCAGATGGCTTTCCCAAGCACATGACCAGCTAGGTCTTGAAAATCAGTCTAGGCACTAGTCAGCTAAAATCCTGGGGTAGTTTTCATTTGAATTTCTATCACGTATTTTCCTCTCTTGTTGTCCTTGCTGAAAGGCATGACCTTTCTTCTTTAAAATGTGGAACACGCCAAGGGAAGTGTTAAGAGGAAAAAGTTCATCTCTGGTCTTTGACCTTGCCTTGCTCTAGAGTCATTTTCATTCCTTCTGTCTGCATTTTAATCTGGTCTGTAGGAATGGACTAGAACTCAAGTCTGGGTATGGCAAATGGCTCCTTTCTTTAGTTTCCCTTTGGACATCTAAGAGCAGATAAGCTATTCCAGAGAAACCTGACTGGAAACTGATGATTCTGGAACCCACTGACAATGAAACTGTGTATTTCAGAATGGCAGAAGAACTTCTGGTTCTCCTTCCTGATTGTTTACAGGTGTTGCTTTGGGTACCTCTGGTTGGATACTGTATATGTTAAATAATGAGCAGCGCTTCTGACATATCTGGGGTACAGCAAAAGAGGCCAGGATTGATGAAGAGGCATGGCTAGCTTGAGCTAAGTAATTAGGTGGTGTTAGTACATGCTTTTGATCCTGTTTCTCTGTGTCTTACTTAATAAGCTCTTGAAATCCTTTTCAAGGTTGCAAATAATTTATGGCACACTAGAACTCTACTTCAGCACTTCCCAAATCATGGTTTGTGCATCTCTGGGGGTCCCTGAGACTCTGGGGTTCCCTGAGGCAAAAGCAACTGTCATTATAATGCCAAGATATTATGGGACCCTTTTTATTGGGTTGACATTTGCACTAATTGTGCAAAAGCAATCGTGGGCAAAACTGTGTGAATCGAGATAGTGGCATCTAGCAATTTTTTAATTTGCCATTGGGCTCTTCAACTCGATACACTGACAGTTAAAAAAAAAAAAAGAAAGAAAATGCCAGTTTCAGTTAGCAATATTATTAAAGGAGTAGAAAAAATATTAGTTTTTATTAAATCTAGACTTTTTGAGTACATGAAACACCGTTTTTACCTAAAAGAATAACTGACAAACTATGGGTATTCAGACTTGGACATTTGGCAGATAATTTCTTTCTTTTTTTTTTTTTAATTTTTAAAATTTATTTTCAGCGTAACAGTATTTATTGTTTTTGCACCACACCCAGTGCTCCATGTAATATGTGCCCTCTCCAATACCCACCACCTGGTTCCCCCAACCTCCCACCCCCCACCCCTTCAAACCCCTCAGATTGTTTTTCAGAGTCCATAGTCTCTCATGGTTCACCTCCCCTTCCAATTTCCCTCAATTCCCTTCTCCTCTCTAACTCCCCTTGTCCTCCATGCTATTTGTTATGCTCCACAAATAAGTGAAACCATATGATAATTGACTCTCTCTGCTTGACTTATTTCACTCAGCGTAATCTCTTCCAGTCCCGACATGTTGCTACAAAAGTTGGGTATTCATCCTTTCTGATGGAGGCACAATACTCCATAGTGTATATGGACCACCTCTTCCTTATCCATTCATCCGTTGAAGGGCATCTTGGTTCTTTCCACAGTTTGGCGACCGTGGCCATTGCTGCTATAAACATTGGGGTACAGATGGCCCTTCTTTTCACTATATCTGTATCTTTGGGGTAAAT